TTTGAACATTTGTGATAACTTTTCAAGAAAAGCAGGCAAGTGGGGTGCTCAAAAGGGGGGTGATTTAGGACTCCAGCTCTCTCTGGGCTCTTCCTGCTTTGGGTCATGGATACCAAAAGGGCATGTAGCCAAAGTGCTTGAGTCATCCAAGCCCAAAAAACATGCATCCCTACCTCAGGAGGCAGTGGAGATTAGTACTAAGGCCTGGGGTGGGTTGGGGGGGCCAGGGACTGCCCCTGGAGGCTGTCCAAGGGACTGACTGGCCTGCAGACCATGCAGCAAGCAGGCTTGTACACCCAGGGCAAAGCTCTCTCCACAGGGATGTGGCACAGAGAGGATGCTCCTTGTGATGGTGCTCCTTGCCCTTGAAGGAACCACACCCTCCTCACCCAGCCCCCTGCTTTAGTAGCCATGACAAGCTGAGAAAAGACCTAGCTAGACAAAGGCCTCTGACTCAGCACATTTGCTTAGTTTCTAGCCTTCTGACCTTGCAGGAGCTTCCCTAGTAACTAGGAGGTCAGACACCCTCCACGTGGCAAGGAACCAATCAGAAGTTAGCTGGTGGGCTCTGGTCATGCTTTACGGTAAAAGGTGCAGAGCATAGCAACTGCCCTGGGAGGGCCTATAGGCCATAACAACATAACAGGTCACCCAAACCCAGAAACAGACCAATCTTAATACTGTTGCCTACCCCTAGGTGCTCCCCTTACTCCACACCCCCTGTGATGAACTGACAGTTAAGACAGTTAACTTGTTAATAATAAAAGACTCTTTGCTTTTGCATTGGAATGGGTCTCTTGTGATTTGGGGGTTCAGACAAATGACTGTCTACTATGAACTCCAGTTATCAAATGTCTTTGCTATTATAGTCCTGATATCAACTACATAAGCCCAGAGTTCGGGAATCAAATGATCATTTAAAAGACAGTACAGGACCTCAGCAGGTCAGATGGGAGACTTGCAGAGACACCAGCAGAACAAGTCTGAGTAGACCAGGACATACTGTGGTGGCCTTGTAAAGGATTCTTTGCTAACTCAAAGCATCCCCTGAGTCCTGGAGCATTGTGAGTAGCCAACGGCTGGAGGTATGAGTCAAGGATTTGGATGAAGCAGTGGCCACTCCTACCACAGTGGTCCTCAGCCTTCCTAATGCTGTGACCCCTTTGATATAGTTCTCCTCACGCCGTCCTGGCTCCCAACCATGAAATTATTTTTGTTGCTACTTCATGACTGTGATTTTGCCACTGTTATGACTCAGAATTTTAAATATCTGATATTTCTGATAGTCTTAGGCAATCCCCATATAAAAGGATCATTTGACCCCCAAAGTGAGAACCACCATCTACCATGTCCTGTGGTTCTTCCATGTGACTTCTCATTGAGGACTGAGGTTGACATGGCTGGGTTCAGTATTGCTGGTGCTGGAGAGCAAAAGAGATTCCACGAGCATTCAGGCATTGCTGGGAAAGACCTTGTAATCTTTGCAGACCCACAGTGCTGCAGAATGAATTGTCGAGGGCAGCCTAGGCCCTTTACAGTAAGCAGTGTCCCTGGCATAACGATACCAGTGTCTCAAGAACTTGTACAGTGGGAGCTCAAGAAGCATTTTCTGAGTTTTAGAGTTGAGTAGACATAAGAGAATGGTAGCGAGCTGTCAAAACTCTGATGAAACTCACCACCCCCTCTTATGCCCAAAGCTCCCCTCTTTATTTGACTGCCATAACCCCTCCTGCTACTGTTCACTTCAGCTGACTGATTGGCACTTAAGGCTCCATGTGTCTGACTTCAGATACTACAGTATCTTTGCACACGGACTTTCTTCTCTTGAATCCCCTGGGTTCTTATGGAGAGTGAACTCTCTGGACAGGACTCCCGAGGCACTGCAGTGCCCATCGTATCTATGCTACCTGTCTACTGTCTGTGCCCCGCCCCTGTCCTCCAAAGAGCAAAGCTGTCCTATGTGTGCCTCTTACTTCTCACCCTCTCCACATCCATGTCCCTGGCAAGACTTGGACAATGCCCGGAGCTCCACTGAGGTACGTACGTCATGTCCCAACAGCCTCCTGCTTCCTCACACTTCCGTTAATCTGATGGTGCTTATTCTCAGTGTCCCTAGCTCTTATCATCTGGGTTTGCCACCACAGACCATGATGCCATTCAGATGTGTTCCATCCTGGCATTCGCAAGGCCAGAGAGAGCTATACAAACCAGGGGTGGTACTGACTTCCTGTATTAGTTACTGTGCCCGAATCTCCATGACCAAAGACCTAACGAGAAGCAGCTCGAGGAGGATCTAGTTTGGCTCACTGTTTGAAGGCACAGCCACTCGTGGCAAGGAAAGTGTGACACTGGGGGCATGAGGCAGACATGGAAGCAGAGAGAAACCAGAAGTGGGGGACTGTGCTCAGTCAGGGGCCAGATCCTAGAAGCTCAGCTTTAGGTCTGACTGTCAGTTCCTGCTCCACGGGGCTGTGTCTCAGTGGCACGCCAGACATTGCCCAAGTCCTGCCAGGAAGCGTGGAATGGGGAAGAGAGCTCCAAGGAGATGCCCATGCCCTCTGGGACCTAGGTGTGGAGAGGGTGACAAGTGCATACACAAAAGAAGGGCGACTTTGTTCCTCGGGGGACAGGGTGGGACATAGATGGGCTAGTGACAAGCTGACATGGATATGGCATGGTAGGTGTTGCAGTGCTTTGGGAGTCATACTCAGAGTGTCCCCCCCTCCCCCCGTTCTATATAGGAACCCACAGGATTCAAGAAAAGGCCATTGCACAAAGATCGTGTCATGTGATACTTCCTTATGGATGCCATGGAAATAGCTGACACCCTCAGTGACAGGAGAGCCCTGAACCCCGTCACAGCCGGTCCAGGCCTCCTTCTAGAGAGCCTCAAATACCAAACCTACATCAGGGACATACTGAGGCCAGCAGAGCCACACACTAAACAAGTCAGCCACAAAATGAATCTGTGACAAGCTGAGCTCTGATTTGCCCCTTGAGGGCTAATGTACAGTTTCTTTGGAAACAAGAAATATTCGGTCCTATCACCGACTACACTGGCATCTTCACACCTTGTCTCATATTTCTCCTGGATAAGGCAACACCAGGCAGCTTCCCTTAAGGTAGTCTTCCATTACCCTCATTTCTCTAGACTTAATCTGTCCCTGTCTCCCAAATCCAGGTTCCAGGAGGGCCTGGTCTCTGTCCCTGAACACAGTACAGTGTCCAGCATGGGTCAGACCCAGTGTATGTGTTTTGAATAATCAATTATCCATTTGTCTTCTTGTCCAGGGGACTCTGGTCTTTATCGTCAGTGAGTGCTACAGGCAGAGGCATCTAGAATGGAAATGGAAGGCAAGGGAGCCCATGATCCTACAGGGAGAAGCCGGCCTGCCAGGAAACACCTGCTCTTTACACTCTACAGGACACCTTACTTTGCCGAGCTATCCCTAGTAGTTCCCTTGTGTGCCCACAAGGAGAGTCTCTGACTCTATTGATTCTGTTGCTGTAGCCGATAGAGCTAAGCATCCTTGGGAGCCTGTTTTCTTAGCGAGGATGTAAGAGGGCTCTAAGAAGTTACAAGTGCCAGAGCAGAACACCAGCACACACTGGAGAGTAGTCGCTCAGGGCAGGCTCTCCAAAGCAAAGAAGCCTGCAAGGCACCCTGGGAAGGCACCAGAGGCTTCAGACTGGGAAAAAGAAAAGGGAGGGAGGCAGTGAAGGAGACCAGCGCTGGCTTCCCCAGGAGCTAAGTGAGATGACAATAGGAATTAGCATCTCAACGCCTTGCTGAAAGCAAGCAAGAAAGGGCTGGTTCCCAGAATGAAAAATAGATTAGTCACTGTCAGGGTGAACAATAGAATAAGACATAAACAGCAGTCTGGCACGGAAACCATCAACTTTTCTCAAGTAAAAAAAATAAAAATGGTGTGCAAGAAGGTACTCTTGAAGCCGGCTGCAGAGCTGCAATGCCACAGCCAAGCTCTGTACCAGCAGATGAGGAGGCAGCAGGGGAGAGTGACAGTAATCTCCAGGAACTGTTTCTTCAAGCCAGATACTGAGAGGGCAGGTTCTGATGTTTACAGCCCTGCCGGAGAGGGCAAGAGAAGGAAAGGAAGGAGGAGAGAGAGTACCCTGGAGTAAATAAAGCAGGCTCCACCTGCTTCCCTGGCAGCCTCTAGGTGTTGTAACCAATGAAACAGGAACTCCAGGAAGACCACCAACCTAACTCACCTTTCACTGGGCTCCACAGTAAATGCTGTTTGGTTGGTGACCAAGCTCTCAGGCTAGGTACTTCCAAAGATGTTCCATGCCAGCCTGGACAGATGGCTCACTGATTAACAGCACTTAGCTGCTCTTCCAGAGGACCTGGGTTCAACTCCCAGCACCCACATGGCAGCTCATAACTATCTCTAACTCCAAATCCAGGAGATCCAACACCTCTTCTGGCCTCTGTAGTTATCGTGCAGGCACATGGGGCACAGACATACATACAGGCAATACATTATACTCAAAAATTAATAATAATAATGATAGAGATCCTCTATGCCTAGTTGATTCTACTGTCACCCTGTAGTAGGTAGGCCAGCTTTACAGGATGAACTGGGGCTCTGCAGTAGTTCTACCATGATTCCCCAGAGACCTGGGAAAACTGAACTTCCCTGCATATAGTCAATATTTAAAACCTTAAAATTATGACTACTGCCAAGCGTTGATGGCATATGCCTTTAATCCCAGCACTTGGGAGGTGGAGGCAGGTGGATCTCTGTGAGTTCGAGGCCAGCCTGGTCTACAGAGTGAGTTCCAGGACAGCCTCCAAAACAATACAGAGAAACCCTGTCTCGGAAAAAAAAATTATGACTGCTACTAACAGCTCACCTATCTCAAGAGTCCATACCAGTGCTGGCTAAAGCCATGCATTAGTGGGCTGTGTTATCTCTTACCATTCCACAATGAAAATCAAAACGAAATAAACATCAATGCAAAATCACAGCTCTCACCTTGAAGAGAATACGAGGTTGTTTTTCTTTCCTGTTTGTTTTTTTTTTGTTTTTTGTTTTTTGTTTTTTTCTGGAGCCATTTTGAATGACCAGGACCTAGGAAATCACATTTGGGTTACCCAAAACCATGTTCCATCATGGAAGTCATTTCATGACGTTAAATAGTTTTGCAGAAGAAAGAAAGTCATAATCAAGGCATGTTTAAAATACAATAGTGGGTACATCGTGGAGGCAGATACAGCAAGATGGGGGAGCTTGTCTATAGGCCTAAGATGTTATCTGATGATGCTAATGCTTTTGGGTTGGTGGAAGCTAGCAATTTGTTAAATTAATAGATTCAGAAAGGTTTTCATCTGTCAGTCACAGGATGTTAGTTCTGATACTGATATAGTCAAAGAATGGCTGTTGGGGGATAATGCTAACCTAAGACAAGGTAATTAGCCTCTGGACCTGCAACATTCCAACCTCTTCACAGTCCCAAACTTCTAATCAGTCATACTCTGCAGACACAGCTTCTTCTTAGGAGCTCTCATTCACGCAAACAAAATCAATAACAATACAATCAAATCCACGAAGCAGACACATCCCCCCCACTCCCCTTCACAGAGGCAGGGGGATGGAGGGTGGTCATTTGCTTATGGCCTAGCAGAGACGCCAGGCTCTAAACCTAGATGTAGACTCTTGGTTGAGCAGACTTGCGTAGATGCAGAGGTCAACCACCGGGTTCACCTTACCTTAGTAAAGGTCAGACAATCTTTGTCCTGGTCTCTGTCCTTCATCTCAAAATCATAAAGTGCTTTGCCTTGGGGCAGAGCCTGTGGCAAGGGCCTGACACACTGGATGTAGCTGGCTGGCAGGAAGCCGTGAGTGCCCTGCAGCTCCCCGTGGTACCAATTCTCATCCACCTTGCGCCGCAGGGTTATGATGTCCCCTTTGTTGAACTTGAGGTCACCAGGTTCTTTTCCCTCATAGCTGTAGAGCGCCTTGCCATAGGGAAGCTGGGACAGATTCTGAAACAGAAAGTAGCAGGTGGTTACTCGGAATGCCCCCTCCCTAGCACCCAAGAGATTTGTCCTGGGCATGGGTTCAGTGGTCATTGTGTGTCTCGTGTGTAAATGGCATTCTGAGAGCAGAAAACATTCCAAAGGAACAAACAGTCTAACATGGGAACATACAAGTTCTCTGACCTCAGAAAAGCACGATAGTCCCTTCAAGAGCAAACCTGTCAATCATATACATGAGGACCAAATGGCGTCCAGCTTCCCATAGAGACCACTGCACTGGAAAGGCTCTGAAGGAAGTGATGAGGCATTATCTGTCAGAGATAAGGAGGAACCAGGCAGGGGCGGGGGTAACTGGTTCAAAGCAAGTCAGGCTGACAATACTCTACCCATTGTGTGCGTCTCCCTCTCTATGGACCAATAGCATATGCTCACCCAGCCCAGGTGAGAGATGTCTGGTGGAGAAAGAATTCAGAGGCTGCTTCCCCAGTCCCAGGACACACACCTCCCCATTCCCCAAGCCATACAAACTTTCTCTTCACATGCAACAATCTGGTCCAGAGGGAAGGATACTCCCAAGATATCTAACCCTGGTCTTATACAGTCAGGAAGTGTTTGTCATCCTGTCAATGTTTGTCAACTTATCTGAATGACATTTGCTACTGTGGTCTCAAACAGCACCCACAGTTAAAGCCCAAACAAAATCTTTGGCAGCAAGGAGACTCTCAATCCTAAATCGATCGGATGTTACTGTCCATTCGCTATACTTTTCTAAGTGGCCCTGACTGGTAAATTCTGTCCCTTGCTTTTCTTTCCTGGTGGTCCACACTTGTTCAGTGATCCATTCTGTGCCTGAGGAAAGCCTTGTCACTGTCTGTGAGTCAATGTCCAGCCATTCCCTCCTAGAAGTAGCATTCTTCTCAAAAGGGCCCCCTGAGCCAAGGATTCTGTAGTATTTAAAATCAATCAATAGCCATACAAAGCTCAAAGCCGCAGTACATCAAGAAGTCTTTGTAGAGGGTTTAAATAGCACATTGCAAATCAATCATTCTACATTTATGTCTCAGAGATGTCTGATGACAGCATTTAAGAGAAACCTGCTGGCAAATTGACAAACAACCCCCACTAACCAATTAAATAGTAACACCAGAGAACATTTCATTACAGAACTCATTCTGGATAGCTTTGTGGTCTAAGTACAATAGACTGTACCAGGCCCAGACTTTAGAGAGTACAGGCGAAAGGCTATTTGCAATCCAATGCTTTGCTTCAAAAAGACTAAAGAGATGCTGAATGTGGGCCATCAGGAAAGCCCCAGGGCCATATAATGGCCAGCCAGTCCCTGGCCCATGGCTTTTGCATCAGGAACAATTTTTCTCAAGATACTTCGGGTTGTCACAACGAGGAAGGGTGCTGGTGGCATCTAGTGAGCAGAGCCACGGATGCTGCCAAGTACCCCTCAATTCATAGCACATTCCTCCCAAACCAGGAATTTACCAAGCTCAGGATGACAATAGGTTAGGAAACCTATCCCCACTCTGCCAGCTAATCTACAAAAAGATGTTTCTCCTCAGCTTGCCACCACATTAAAAGTCAAGTCATGACAGGAATATTTTCACTATTGACTATATGACAACACTTAGAATTTTACTCAGAAAAGGGGTTTCAAGTGCCAGTAAGAAAAGAACACATTCTTCTGCTCAAAAATGCACCTCTACTGGCTACCCAAAGGAATGTTCCTTGACACAGACTGGCACTCTGTGCTCTCTTCTGCTAGACTCGTCGTCTTAGAGACACGGCTTTGGTGGCTTTTTGGAAGCTTCTGCTACCACCGATCGCAGTGTGAGCAGGACAGACCATGCCAAACCTGCACCATCACTGTCCTTCAAAGACCCAATGCCAATGAACATAGAGCCCTCCCCCAGTTCCCCTGCCCAGAAACGACTTGGCTTTCTTGAGACAGGCTGACACAGGAACCATTTCAAGTACCGTTCTCACCCACTATGGACAACCATGGCACTGGATCACTCAGTTTAGCTGGGAGGGTGGGAATGTAGTGCCAGGGAAACAGGAAATAAATGCCTAGGAGACAGCTTGATTGACTTTAGGGCCTGAACTATAGAATAGCACCTAGTCCAGGGACCCACAAGTTACCCACTTCCTGGTCATGAAAGGCAGCGTCCTGAGTCTCAGGAAACTCGGGTTTGTACTGATTCTCTATGTAGATGATGGTCCCACACATATGCAGGCCATGGGCTACTCATCACCATTATAGACCCAATTCTGCTTGCCTCTGGGTGTCCCCAACTCTCCATGCCGACCAGTAGATTTCATATCAGTCTAGACAATTTGTTTGGAATGTAGACCTTCTAGACCGTCCCACAAGACCTCTCTGTACCTTTAGCACTACTTCCTACATTCTTCATTCAGACCATGCAGACTCCATCTATCTGTGCCCATCCTTCCCTGAACCCCAGCCTTTCTTCTCAAAGCCTGCTACTCTACTGCCATACTCTTAGATCTCCCCCCACCTACCTCTCCCTCTGTTCTCAATGTACTGTCCTGGATGCTGGGGGCACAGGTGTACATTGGAGCCTGCCCTGCAAATTCCAGTGGCTTTCACTGTGCCAAGGAATTCAAACTCCCTGGAATAGAAGCAAACACACACTTTTCTAGCCATGGTGGGTAACATGACAACGCCCAAGGAGGAGATACACTTCTGAAACCTATGGGCTCAGCTGACACAGCTCCACACCATCTCTTTTCCTGCCTAGATCCACAGCACTGGTACTGGGCTCCTATGCCTGGAGTTTCCTGTCTACTGTATTAACAGAGCTATGCTGTATTCACTCTGACAACCAGGACCAGAGAGAAACCCGAGAAACAGCAGACACCATCTTTTTGTTGTTAGTTCAAGGGATCTCGGGGTAATCCCAAGCCAGGCTGTATCTCTGCTGCAGGCAGTAGGTAAGGAGAACAGTGTGGGGGAAGGTAGGGGGGCAGCAGAGGTCAGAGCCCACTCCTGTACCGCTTCTGACTCTCATGAGTATTTAAAATGTATAGTAGCAATATAGACACAGTTCTGAGCAGACAGACAGACCGACAGACACACACACACACACACACACACACACACACACACACACGTCACAATGATGTTGACATGAAGTTATGCAGGAGCAGACCAGCCAGAGACCAGGACTCTGTGTTAAGGGAATCTCAACCCTGACTTATGGCACTTTCCACAGTCTGATCTTCAAAGCCCATTATAAGGTTAACTAATTAGTTCCTGGCTGGTCCTAGAGGAAGGTGAGTATCACTGGGGAGGAAGCCGAGATGAGACTCCTGCAAATCGCACTGTGGCAGCCCATCAAACTCCTAGGTTCCCGCTGCCTGTTCCAATCACAGCTATTTGCCTTCTTTCCAGAGACAACTTCTCTCACAGGGAGGGCATCCCCCCCTAGGAAGATTCGAGTTCAAACACGACCAGGAAGCCACCATTAAGGCATTAAGAAAAAGAAATAAAAGGGAAGAGGAAGAAATATATCTAGGAAGCCTACAGAATAATTAACACCAGCTACCCTGCAAGGCATTAATAATAATTAAAACTTATAATGTCAATTTCATGGCTCATTACTCAGATGAGACATGCAGATCTTCCTCTGGGCTTAATATCCTACCCCCACAGAGACAGGGTTCTTACATATGCATAGCAGCACTTTGCAGCTTCTAAGGAATCAAATTCAGCAGTTTGCTTTGACAAATGGGATTCCATTATACCTCCAACTCTGCAGGGTCTCACACGCATCCCTGGGCCATGGGGTCACCAGGGCCTGAAGCCAAGTGGATAAGCACACATAGATGTCTCCTCCACCACGAGAGCACCAGAAAACCAGAATGAAACACAGGAATCAAGAACCTTTAGACTCTATGAACTCAGTGTCTTTCACTCAATGCTCGCTACTTGGGGTTCTATCTACCTGTTAATAATGGCTATGGGTCCAATCGCTATAAGTGATTAGTCCATGTTTGTCCTTAATCCCTGGCCTGATAAAGGTCACAGGATCAAAGCATAAACTGATAGAATAACTATGTGAAAGTTATCAGAATCATAATGGAATCACTTTTGCTAAGCCCTCCATAAAAGTTAAGTACATAAATACATGAAGCAAACCAAAAGGTTACTAAGGAGGGGATCTTATGTATTCATGTCTGTTAACCAAAACAAAAGACTTCCAGAACCACAAATACTGTGACCTTACACACACACACACACACACACACACACACACACACACACACCTGCTAGGAACTCAGACCAGTGAAGGTGACTATGTGGTTAACCTTGGGCCAATGATATTCTTGCTACTGATGTTTTTTAAACCAAGGGTGAATCCTTCCCCAGAGTCTAACAAGGTGAGTTTGCCTGGTCCTCCCCTTCATGTACCCTTCTTCAAACCCCAGATCTAGCCCAGACCTCACATCCAGTACACCAGCCTAGTCTGGCCACCCCTGCCTGCACAACATACAATCTCTAACCTTCCAGAACACTCCCTGACTGTCCACAACCTACAGGCCCCTCCTAAAACACATCTACGGGCTTCATCCAACCAGATCCTGGACACCCTTCTCCAGAGTCTAGTCAGGTGAGTCCACAGGATCCTCTTCTGCACACACCCACATCAACCCTAGATCTACCTCTAAATTTCAGGATAGGAACAGGATGCACATCCTACACACCAGACCAATTCACTGTATCTACCTGACTTCATTATAACCAATCTTTAGGTCTAAGCAGGCTTATATAGTCTGTGTCCTCCCCTGACCTACTTGGTCTATAACAGACACAGAACTAACAAAAGAATCCACATGCCCAGCTGTACTGCAAGTATGCAAACAATATGAAGATCAAGGAAGCCTCTCTGCTCCAAAACCCACCAGTCCTACAGAAATGCTCACCAATGAGAATTACCTAGATGAAGCCCAGGATATAGACTTTAAGAACGATC